GATCTGGCATTCACAACGCGCACTGTGTTTGATCTTCGCATAATCACAAAATCAATCATGTTTCAAACAGGTTGGCCATCCCTGTGTACGAGCCCATTCGAGAACCATGTCGAACGATGCTGCATACGATGTTTGAACATGGTGTTGCATAAAATCAGATTTTGCTCCTCACACAGCTCAATCAGTCTCTCACCGTTCGCGTTGCTTGATACGTGCTTGGAGAAACATCCCACTGCGCCTCCTGAAGCAGGTCGGGCGCTCCCTACTTTTGCATTCAGATCTCCCAATATCATAAAATCATCTCTTCTACTGACCTCTTGGGCAATACCTCGTAGTGCGGAGTAGAAGTCATCTGTTTCCTGAGGATGTGATGTCGAGCGTTGCAGCGTCGGAGCGTAGCAGCAGACCACCGTGAGGGAGTTGCTATCAGGTCGAGGTCCATTTCGGAGACGAACTGATATCATCCGTTCGGAGATAAATTTGTACGACTCCACATTATTTATTAGTTTCTTGTTGATGAAAAGGCCAACTCCAGCTCTGGACGAGGAGCCACCCGAACGATACAGAACATGTCCGTTGTCGTACGTGTCTACACCGGCTCCGTTCCGCCAGGCCTCCGTCAGTCCGAGGATGTCAAGCCTGTATTGTTCGAAATCTTGTATTATTGTATTTTTCTTGATGTTGCTTGTCAAGGAACGAGCGTTGAACGTTCCTGCTCTGAGGGACGAGTCATTCTTACTGCGCTCCGTAAATATCGTTGCCTTAGGCTTACTCAAGCAACTCATCTAGTAGCAACTCATCTGTCTGGAAACATTTTCAAGGAACAAAAGTCTCTCGCAAGAGATAGAGCTGCCGGGAGCTCAACCAGACAAACCAAATAGTTTTTGGGTTGGATTATGTGGTTTTTAAAAGGCCCTTAGTCTGCGATTTTTAAGATATGAATTCTCAAATACTCAAATATTCGATCGGAGAAAATCAGAGTTTTCAAACTCGGGATCTCAGTGCTAACTTTCACCCCTACTACAGTCTGTTTCAAAAAGATTAGCAATCAAGTTTGGGTCTTAAAAAGTATGAAGATAATGGAAATTTGGACAACAAAGTACATAAAACGGCTTGTTAGGGCACGGCAAATTGGTCTGTGAAGGTTTCGGAACAATTGGACCAACCGTTAAGGAGTTAGTATTTCGGCCAGGTTTCTGGCCTTTTCCCATGGTTTATAATTTGCCCTGGAAGCCAGTATCGATTTGTTATCAAAACCCACGATTTATCCCTTCCTTTTTGGCCTTGTGGTTATGAATGCTGTCTGCTGACCATGAAGTTGTGAGTTCAAATCACAACAAATCTTCAAGTCAAACATTTCTTCTTCATTTTTTCATTGTTTTGGTGAACGCGCTGGTACAAGACAAAGAAGGTGGCTGCGCCAAACGACTTGTTGTTGGAGCTCGCGTTTCCTGCCGAACTGACTGGCACTAGACTGGCTCACGCCATGTGAAGTTGTGAACACACACAACACTGAAACCGTGTGAGTGAACACGGAAGTCATTGCGCTGTAGCTACGTACGTGTTGTTGAATACACCGGCACATCGATCGATCGATTTCTGTTTGAGAATTATTTTAGTATTTGAAGATCGCCAATTTATTTGAATTTAGAAGTCAACGCCGTCCTCTATCAGCTTTCACAGGCGTCTGCTTTTCTCAAAATGTCGTCGAAGTCACACGGATAGCTTTGCCACTTCAAGGCCTTGGGAATGAGTCTGTGTCGATGCCGTTTTCGTCACATCGTGAGAGTAAATTGCATCCGCGGCAGCTCAAATAATCTATTTGGTCACACATACGGACGCATCCCGCTCGTCAAAATTTACCACACTTTCGACATGTCCTCTCTGACTCCATATCAATGCGAGGAAGAACTCGTTTGTTGTAAACAAGACGAACATGTACGAGTACCGACGTCAGTGAGTTGTCATTTTTCATGCTTTCGCGCGGAATATTTCTTCGAGTTCACAGTGAGTTTTTCCAGGCAGCGCTCAAGCGCTCATACGGTAAGACGGCAAACTCCCCGGGCGATCGCCAGGACTGCAAATCTTTTTGAAACTGACTATAGTAACAATCAGATCATCACAACAGTTGTAAAAGCGGAGGTGTGTACAAATGCTACCAAGCGATGCAGGCGTAGAACCTTTAAACAAATAACTTGGCATCAACCTTGCATCCTGGGCCGGGAAAGACAACGTGTAGGCTGTCAGTTCCAGGCAAGCATGTTCTTCTGACCAATTTCTTGCCCGGCAGTGAGACATGTATTGGGGTTTTCCACCTTAACCTGGCAAACAGTTTGTCAATTGACTTATCAGAGTAGTGTGTATGTACGTGAGAATAACTCACTTTAGCCCACATCCCAGATGCACATGCAGATGCTACACTGCTATGAAATACACCAACACACAGGGCACGGAGTTTGGAGTTATACGGGTGCTGGCTGCGAGTGAGGCAATGTGGCTCAACATCGAGCACGAGAGAGAGAGAGAGAGAGAGAGAGAGAGAGAGAGAGAGAGAGAGAGAGTGGCTCAACATAGAGTACGAGAGAGTGAGTGGCTCAACATAGAGCGCGAGAGAGTGAGTGGCTCAACATAGAGCGCGTATGGTGGCTCAACATAGAGCGCGTGTGTTGGCTCAACATAGAGCACGGAGTGATTGAACGAGTTAAACCATTGCCGTTAAGAGTTGCGCCAGCACCCAGTGTTTATTGTGAAGAGTGGACCGGTAGTGAGATCCTAGTTACAGATAGTGGTAAGGTTGGGATGGTGGGAAAAAGAATTCAAAAGCCAACCATTACTGCGGAGCAAGAAGCAGAAAACAACAACTAAACAGTTTGAGCTCTTGGAACTGCTGTCATAGAAATAAAATATTTCTGATCACTGAGCTGTAAGTGCAAACCAGAGCTGGGACAGGCACACGGCCCTGTGTACCCTATAATTATGGTTACTGCATGCTGCATGTAGCAGGCGTATCGGTTTGCCCGGTGAGTGCAGTGTGCACCTGCAGACGTGTATGGCAGTGCAGTTGCACATGTATGCAGGTGCCAAAGGTAAAAAAAGGACATGCTGCCTATGTATGAGGAACATGAGGAAATGAGCAGTGGGAGTCTGTGATGAGCAGTGGGAGTCTGTGATGAGCAGTGGGAGTCTGTGATGAGCAGTGGGAGTCTGTGATGAGCAGTGGGAGTCTGTGATGAGCAGTGGGAGTCTGTGATGAGCAGTGGGAGTCTGTGATGAGCAGTGAGAGTCTGTGATGAGCACTAACAAGGGTTAACTGCATTTATAGGCCATTCACAAGACGTGCAAACATTTGCCCTCGTGTGATCAAGATAACACTGGCAAACCGTGATCCAGTTCACAAGGTGCTGGGCAAACTGTGCAACCGTCAATGTATCCATAGTAACCCCCTGAAAATGCGGTGAAATGTTAAATTTTGAATTTTCCTTTGTTCAAGCACTGCATTTGCAGTATGCACTTTCAACAACCAACACTTTTCCTGGCGTGCAAAGATAATCGCGAGCAAAAGGTCCTCGGCCAAGATAAAAAATCAGTTGCATGCGTGAGTCCAAGTTTATCGTATCCGAGTAAATATCCTTGGAGACAGTACGATAAAAGTGAGTTTGCACGTCGTGTGAATGGCCTATAACCCCACATCATAGTGAGTTGGGCACTACATTTGTGGAGTACGAAAAGGACGACGGCATATTCTCCAGAGACAACGATGGACAACAGTTAGGTGGGACAACATTAATTTGGGAGACGGAGAGACAGAGACCAAGACGAACGAAACGACTACATTCTGGCAGAGAGAGAGACAAGAGCTAGAGATCAAGTATGAACGGCAAGATAAAGCGCCTGGGTAGGTATGGAGAATATGGGCGCGCAAGTAGCTACCCAGGCCAACAGAACAAAAGGTGAGAAAAGGAGACAAAAGGTGAGTACGACGTAGTATGGGGTGCATGCAGGCCTGCCTGGAAAAGGTTGTACGGGAGGAGGTACCTAACATACCTCCCCTGCGCAAAAAAGGAACCGCGGCCTCGCGGGAAATAATAAGACGACGAGAAAAATAGAAAAAATGGCTGAGGAAGTAGAGAAAAAAAGCACACACACACACACACACACACACAAACACACACACAACGCACAGGTGTCACAAAAGTGTTATACTAATTATGCACTACAGTTATGAGGTTCCTGTACTCTAAAGTATTTACACATCACTCATGGTAGCGTAGACATTGCCAACGACGGGCCAAACACCCATTCACAAAATAATTGGCACACATGAAGAAAACTAAAAACAAGGAACATTGCCTTCTGATTTGCATTGCTATGCAGCATAGTTACTCTTCTGCCAATTAATGCGACATGAATAAAAGAGCGTGGCTCACCATCGGACAACTAATATTGACGAAGGACACCCGCGCACACACGCACTACAAAAATCACGAAATAAAATAAACTGAAAATAATTTGACGACGAAGGACAGATGAAAAGAAAGAGAGAAATAAAGAAAATAGCTGACCTGCATGACTTGGACGAGACGAGATTGACATTGAAGAGACGAGGTTGACATGGACGAGACCAGGTTGACATAGGCGAGACGAGGATTACTGAGGACGAGACGAATGGCGGTTGAGGACGACTGTGCATGGGATCTCATGCTCTACCGACTGAGATATCCGGAAGAGAGAGACAAGAGCTAGAGATCAAGTGTGAACGCGAAGGTAAAGGGCCTGGGTAGCTATGACAAATATAGGCGCACAAGTAGCTACCCAGGCCAACGGAACAAAAGGTGACAAAAGGAGACAAAGGGTGACTAGGACGTAGTATGGGGTGCATGCAGACGAGCTTGGAAAAGGTTGTACGGGAGAAGGTGCCTAACACATTTATATCCAATATAGATACTTTTCTGATGGATAACGGACAGGAATGTCTTGTCATGTGTGTTACCTGTACACAGTACGGTAACCTTCCTGTTCATGAATCTGCCATGAATGGACATCTGGAAGTAGTCAAGTATCTACTAGACCTCCAACCCGACACGATCTCTGTAAAGAACAATGTAAGTTGAGCAATCTCTATCCTTGATTCTCCTTAAGAATTTTTTTCCAGAACATGGTTTGAGCAATATATTCGATCACAACAAGTAGCATCTAGTCACTCGCGCCAGGCCAGAGCAACAGAACTTAACCTTACGGATTCCACCATCTGCCAGTAGAGCAGACCATGGCACACCATTCACTCTTGGGTCCATACAATGGCCGTCCCTACATTCTAAAGTGGCGTAAATATATTTCCTGGTGTATGTGTGTTTGTGTGTGTGTGTGTTTGGGGGGGGGGGGGGGTGCGTGCGTGAGTGCGTGTGTGCATACAGCAAGGATAGGCAACCGTCTTAGCCGTTCTATGCTGATGTCCTTCGCGTTGTGCAGACCACGTGTGCATTGATGGTCGATTCTCATGGCTTCACAGGTTGTATGGATTAGGCAGTTATCTGGCACTAGTCTTGATCTGTCTCAATCAGATCTTGTCCGCTATCGTTGCTATAAGGTAAAATCTGTGGGTGCACCTCCAGTACATTTCGCAGATTTGCGTGCTTCTCTTGTAACGGGCGTATACATGGTACACGGTGTGTATGCGTGTACATGTGTGTGTGTGTGTGTGTGTGTGTGTAGCGGGGGGGGGGGGGGGGGGGGGTGTATGTGCATGTTTGTGTGTTCATGTATAATTATATTAGGGCTGAAACGATTATACTTGGTCCGCGTCAGCAATATTGTCGCTTATCTTTCAGCTTTGTCATTATGTTATTATGTCGCCAATGCTCACTTGGCAGCCCATTTCATCCCAATTTTGGTTAGTAGGTTAGTTTACTAGTATCTGAAAGGTCTAGCTAGATTTCGAGAGTGACAGGTTCGTGATTCTGATTGGTACAGCGCCGCATCAACGAGAGAGCTTGGAAGCTCAGGGCCTTACGCTATGCTTTTTGCCTTGATGACCTGGACAAAAAAAGCATAGGGATGTTATAAATTCTTTAAATAATTCCTGTTTATTTAAAGACATAACCTGGGATTCGAAACCGCTCTATCGCGCACCCTGCATGCATCCCCCGATACACTTCGCATACATACTAATTCTTCCAAGTTGCTTCACGTTATGATCTTGCATTTGAAAGCCCTATTTGAATATGCATTGTGGCCAGCCGTCTTTGATGGTACGGTACGGCACGGGATAGGTACGGGACAGGTACGATCGAGGGTAATACGACACCGTCTACCGCCTTGATGACGGCAAAAAAAGCATAGGGATGTTATACATTTTTCAATTCCCCTATTTTTGTTTCAGGCATATCCTGGGATTCGAACCCGCACTATCGCCCTACGTAGCTAACACTTCGCATTCATACCCATTCTTCCAGGTTGCTTCATGTTATCATCTTGCGTTTGAAAGCCCTATTTGAATATTGCGGCCAGCTGTATGTGGCCAGCTGTGTTTGATGGTACGGTACGGTACGGGACAGATACGGGATAGCGCCAGGCGTGACACAAACAAACAAACAAACAAACACACAAATACCAAATTAAAGCTGTGTGGACCCTGGCTAGCGCCAGACGTTACTGAAGTAACGTCTTCTGCATAGCTACGGGAATAATTATAGATTATCTTGTCACACTGGGCAGGCAAGAGCAGCTCGTCGCACAAGAAAGTAATCGGCTACTCGGAATCAGTTCCATTTGCAAAACGGCCGAGATCGCTCACCTCAGGGATTGCTCGCCAAGCTGACATCGCAGTTCCCTCGCCTCCAGTGCAACGCTCGGAGTATCCAGCGAATCGTGGAGATTTACAAGTACTGTACGAGTCATCGTCGTTCAAAATAAATCTTGCAAAGAACGGTGACTGATTTGAACCACACAGGCAGTCGTGCTGCCCACGCGAAGTCCTATAGAGAAGGCGATCGTCACTGTCGACTTCCCTTTAGAAAATAGTCAGGCAGCTGAGAGGAAGAGAGATGAGCTTGGGAAAAAAAATATTTGTCACCAGCGCCGGGAGCAGCGACAAGGAGGACCAATAACGTATGAACCCTTCCTTGGACAATAAATTCCACTTGGCCAGTTGTCATTCTGTACCTTACCTTCCTTCATATCAAGTTTTATCGTCTCAAGTGCACTTGTTGTCTAAAGTCAATGTATTCCTATCTGTAAATGTATTCCTATCTGTAATTGAAGACTTGTTTTCTTCTGGTTAGTGTGCCATGGTAGAGGATAGACTTAGGCACAGCCAGTAATTCCCTTACAGCGTATGGTGCCGAAACCCGGGACCAATGGAATCCGGTTTGGACCCGCCAAGCCTGATGTTGTCGTGTCTGTTAGCGATGCGCACCCATCGCCTCATGTCAGCGTGAAGCATGATGGGCATGACGTAATTCTCCAGTCGCAGGATGGCGAAGTGCGCTGGAAAGCGGAGAAAAGGGAGTGTGAGCTTTCCTGGCAGTGAAAATATGGTGTTGCCCCAGCGGCTATGCTTGTATCGGGCATCGCAGCTTACTCGCGAGAGAAGCTCACTCCAGAGCAAGATGCCCTGTTTTGTGCTGAAGTGGAGAAGTGGATCGAGAATGAGTGGCTGATTCCACACGATCCGATGGTGCATGGTGAGCCAGCAGCAGTGTTACCGCTCCTTCCCCAGGTGCAAGAGCACAAGGTAACGACAGTCGTTTGACCAGTGCTCGACTACCGCTCCCTCAATGCCCGGCTCCAATCGGACCCTGGTGGTGATGCACCTGCCTGGGAGGAGTCTCTGCGTAAATGGAGAAAGGCTGGTTGCCCGGGAGATTTCAAGCTCTTTGACATCAAGAAAGTGTATCTCCAAGTCCACGTCGCTAAGTAGTTTCTGAAGTACCAGACTGTCCTTTGGAACGGAAAGCCATACGTGATGACACAAATGGGCTTTGGGCTCAGTATTGCACCGAAGTACATGGGCATCACCGCCCGTTATGCAACGCGCGGTTACCCGAAAAGTTGACAGCTACATTGATGATATGCTGACCCCGTCAAATTGCGCTCACGCCGGTGCCAAGACGATGATTGAGTACAGCCTGCCCACGAAGCCCGCCCAGCCGCTGGCGACGCCGGCAGCGAGATGACCTGGCGACTCCGAGATGGCAGCGACCTCCGTGTACCGGAGGTCCTGACGAAGCGTGCAATATTCAAATGGTGCAGTAGGCTAACAGGTCATCTGCCAGTTTGTAGTTGGCTTCACCTCGCCTGCTGTTACATCGAGCATAGGCTACCATCTTAGCCGTTCTATGCTGATGTACTGATGCTGATGGACTACTGAGCTAGCGTGGTTGAAGTGGACGGACGTGGTGGTTGAAGTGGACGGACACGTCATTGAAGACCGATCATGGCTTCGACCAGCCGGAGACACACAACATATACATGTGAGCGAGCTGGAAGCAACGGTCAAAGGACTCAACCTCGCCATTCGTTGGGGTGCTACAAAAGTGCGGCTCGTGACAGATTCGAAGCCTGCCACTAGCTGGCTGAACAATGTGGTGACGAACTCATACCGTGTTCGTACCAAGGGCCTTCACGAAGTGGTGGTGCAGCGACGTCTGCAGATAGTGTGGGACATTGTCATTGTAGCTGGCCTCTCTGTGATAGTCGTATTGGTCCCGTCTGCCAAGAATCGAGCTGACATCCTAACGCGTGTCCCCGCTACCTGGACTGCTCACGGCAAAGCACAGTTGAAGGAGAGCAGCATTGCAGAAAGCCTCGTCGGTGGACCTGCTGGTGGTCCAGTTCAGCAACCCGACATTGCGGCCGCTCAGCACACCGATGCACTGATCACTGAGGTGATCTCGCAGATTGAAGGAGGCCGCCCACTTCATGAGTTGTTCACGAAGGTCGGTTCACAGCTTGTGATCGTGAATGGCCTGCTGTGTCGTAGTATGTAGTTGCCTATCGATAGAGTCGTGGAACTTCCAGTCGTGGCATCGAAGCTAGTCGCTGATATATTGTCTGCTTTACATACGAGAACAGGTCATGGTTCGTGGAATACCATGTATGATGTTGTTCGTAGCCGCTGCTACTTTCCGTATATGGCTGCCCAGTGCCAGCGGCACATTCAGCAGTGTGTACAGTGCAAAGCAGCTAACAGCCTCCGCGAGACGTCTATGCCGCCTACACAAGCAAGCATCGCAGGGAGCCCGTGGTCAGAGGTGGTCATAGAAACACTATAACTTGGTCCAGAGCGAACGAAGTGGCCGCTACCATTGTGTGCTAGCTGCAGTCGATTCGTTCACTAAGTGGGCCGAAGTTATCTCGTTGGCTCGACATGATGCTTCCCCTGTTGCCAAGGCGTTCACGGCACTGTGCAATCTCTGGGGCCCGCCGAATGTTGTCCACATGGATAATGGGTCTGAGTTTCGGAAAGCGCTCGTTGAGTCTGTCTTCAAGTACTTCGGTGTCCGAGTGAAGACAGGAGCCGTCAGACACCCACAGTCCCAAGGAACTGCTGAACGCTTCAACAGGACATTGCTTGGCCTGATTCGGAAGTTGGACGAGCAGTTGGAGAAACGACCTGGACATCCTGCTGTGACTATACCGACAGCGACCCCATGCCTCTACCCGCGTGTCGCCAATGGAGGCCATGATAAGATAGAACCCGGACTACGTCATCGAGAGTACTGCCGAATTGTGCGTCAATTCACTTATCAGAGTACTGTGTGACTCAGAAGTAGCGACAAACTCGGCCATTTGAAAACAATCTTAACCGTCCACCTCTCCACACTGCCCTCTTCGTTATCTACCTCTGCTGGGGTACTCTTATTGAGGAAAACAGCTGTCTGGAGGATATGGAACATCTACCCAAGAACGAACTCCCTCGCTATGGAGTGATGTTGTGACTGTGGGCCAAGAGTGCATTGTGGAGAGGTGGACGGTTAACCCTTTAAGAGCCACAGGAAAATTTCAAAATTCTGCATTTTTTCGTGTTCCTTGGATCATAGCTCCAGTTCTACTCACTCAATCCTCATAATCTAGGGCTTCCTGGAAAGGTCTCCCCGAGAGG